TGCAGCATGAGGCTCCATGTGCCTTCCCTTCTGCAGGACAGCCCGGCTCTACCACCCCACAGGCAGCCCCTGGCAGCTCAGTGCAGGCACTGTGTGGGGCAGCATGCGTGCAGTGGTACAGAGATGTGCCACAGCACAGCCCCTGACACCGCATGTCCTCCTTCTCGCAGCACCTACCTCCTCCCCTTTGTTCCATCTTCCTCTTCATCACCGTGCACCCTGGCTCACCTTTTAGCTCTTTTCCCCCAATTTGGAAAACTTCCATTGCTTGTTTTGCCACAATCAGCAACTTTGTATCTTGGTGCACTGTAACTCCAAAAGTTTATACCAAACTCAAGAGCAAGTCCTTGCACCTGGTGGAGGCAAAAAAGTGATTTCAGTGCTTCTGTGGAACAGGCTCATTGATAAAAACAGGGCTGTTCACACACCAAGCAAGGCTAAACTGGGAAGATTTGGGATGACCACACTCTGATTCCTTTTGCTAATGTAATATATTGGTCCTTATTCTAATACATTGATCCCTTTTGCAAATCCAGCCTGTTTCAGCTCCACGGTGCCTGCTGGCACCTCATTTGCCTGCAGATACAGAGGTGGAACACAGAGGCTGTGAGAGAGTCAGCACTGACCCAGAGTTCATATGGGCTCCAGGAGAAAGAGAACATGACTCACGTGCAAAGAGAGGCTGAGAGATCTGGAGTCATTGAGCCTGGGGAAGAGATGTCTCTAGGTAGACCATATGGCTGCTTTTCACAGCACAAGTGACTACAAGGGAGTTGGGAGGGAATCTCTGTTAGGAATGAAGTGATGGCACAAGGGGTAACAGCTTAAATGAAAGGAGAGGAGATTTAAATTGGATTTTCAGAAGAAACTCTTTCCTATGAGAGTGATAACGAACTTGAGAGGTTGCCCAGACAGGTTGTGGCAGTCCTGTCCCTGGAGGAATTCAATGTCAGTTTGGATGGGGCAAGAGAAAGGTGCCCCTGCTCATGGCAGAAGGATTGGAACTGAGTGATTTTTGTTGTCCCTTCCAACCTAAACCATTCTATGATTCTATGATTCTACAGTTCTCTGTTGGTGGGAAACAGCAGGAAAGAGAAAGGGAAAATTGCAGCTTGGATGGTAGAGACTTGGATGGTGTCAGGACCTCACCTCCCCTCAGTTTCTAATCTAAATCACACCTCTTTTAATTTAAAACCATTCCCCCTTGTCCTATCACTATCTGCCCATGTAAGAAGTTGATTGTCCTCTTGCTTCTAAGCTCTCTTTAAATATTGCAAAGCTGCAAAATGTCCTCCTTAGAGCTTTCTCTTCTCCAGGCAGAGCAACTGCAACTCCTTCAGCCTCTCTTCATAGCAGCGTCCCGAGCCCTTTGTTCATCTTTGTGGCTTTCCTCTGGACCTGCTCCAAAAACTCCACATCACAATCCAGATGGGGCCTTCTGAGGGCTGAGTAGAGAAGGACAGTGCCTTCCCTCACTCTGATGACCACCACTCTGTTGATGAAGCCCAGGGTACAGTTGGTCTCCGGCTGCAAACACACATCTGGCTCCTGTAAGGGTTTTCATACAACAGGAGCCCTAAGTCCTTCCCAGTCATATGGACTCCAGGAGAAAAAGAGCAGGGTGATGCCTCATAGAAGTGGAAGGAATCCAAACACAGGTTTAGGAACATGATATCCACTGACAGTAAATACAGACACACATATATATGAACAGTAAAGGAAAAAGTATGTATTAATGAAAAGAAATACTTAAAATAAACAGAAATGAGCATAAAATAGTGTCATTGTGGAGAAGACAGTATCATATGTAGAGACAGAATAAAAGCTTATGCCTGCTGAAATGTGGCCATGACATCATTTTCCTCACTGCATCCCTAAGCTCCTGGTTCCTCATGCTGTAGATGATGGGGTTAAATGTTGGAGGCACCACTGAGTACAGAAATGACACCACCAGGTCCAGGGATGGAGATGATATGGAGGGGGGCCTTAGATTGGCAAAAAAGCCAGTGGTGACAAACAGGGAGACCACAGCCAGGTGAGGGAGGCACGTGGAGAAGGCTTTGTGCCTTCCCTGCTCAGAGGGCATCTTCAGCACAGCCCTGAAGATCTGCACATAGGACACAACAATGAAAACAAAACATCCGAATAAGACAAGGACACTACAGAAAATAAGCCCAACTTCTCTGAGGTAGGAATTTGAGCAGGAGAGCTTGAGGATCTGAGGGATTTCACAGAAGAACTGATCCACAGCATTGCCTTGACAGAAAGGCAGTGAAAATGTATTGGCAGTGTGCAACAGAGCATTCAGAACTCCACTGGCCCAGGCAGCTGCTGCCATGGTGGCACAAGCTCTGCTGTCCATCAAGGTCCCGTAGTGCAGGGGCTTGCAGATGGCGACATAGCGGTCATAGGACATGATGGTGAGGACAGAATATTCTGCTGACATGAGAAAGACAAATAAAAAAGTCTGGGCAACACATCCAGCATAGGAGATGTGCCTGGTGTCGCAGAGGGCATTGGCCATGGCTTTGGGGAGAGTGGTGGAGATGCAGCC